ATCCTGTCCCTCAGCATGTGGGTCGACAGGTGCCTCACCGCCCCATTGCTGGGGACCACCTCCTCGCCGTCCCCCACGACCCCCGCGACCACGTGGGGCACCCCTCCCTCGTGCCCTACCCCTGCCTCGCGGGACACCCCTACCCCGATGGTAGGCCTCTGGCGCCACGTACTGAGCCTTGTGGTCCAACCCCGCGGCATCTCTCGCCTGCAACAGTGTCCGACGAGCCAACTGTTCCACCTGCCGGCCATACTCCACCACTTCAGGGATGTCGGCACGCTGCTGCATCTGCTGTGCCAACTGGTATATGTGATGATGCCCAATAGCCTGTGAAACATTTAAAATATTAATTAAATAACGCTATATCCAAATTATAAGATATTGATAAGCCAAAAAAACATACCAGTGCCTCGAGCCTCCCGGCATACGCTCGTCAAGTACATGAATGGGGTTCCCGATCATCAGTCGGGTGTGACGGCTGTACCACTCAGTATATAGATGAATAGTGGCCTCCTGTGTAAATGTAGGTGGTGGCGGAATACGCTCAACTCGCTCCTCCCAATAAACTATCTGCTGCTGTAGCCATCCCATATACCACTGGTCCATGCTGGCACGGTCGTCCCGCTGATAGTGTGTAGCCTCCCATCCAGGCTCCCTCGTTATAAGCTGGGGACGGTGAAACTGTCGAAGCACACGCTCTGTGGCATGATACTCAACGTGATCGAAGAAGATCATCGAGACAGAGGTGCTCCAAAGCATCCGGTCGACTGAGCAACAAGTGGGCAGCTGAGCAACCAACTCAACGCTGTATGGCGTCCAGATGAACTACCAAATAATAAGATAAAAGTGAGTACGCGCAACACAACTCAATTTAAAACAAGCAAGTGTAGGTACATTTTTACCTGTCCGTCCACCAACATATCTAACACATCCCTGACAAGGGGGAGATTATGATGAGCATCGCTCCCTCGGTAGTTCCCACGCCGGAGAATCCACTTGACAGCTAGAGGGAGAAACGGATAAGCCTCACCGGGCGGAAGTGGTGGTAGAGGTGGCTACAACGGCATGATCCGCTGCCAGGCCCAAACCTAAGAGAAAAGGTTGATGTAAAATTTATGAGTCATTTCACGATATAGAATTAGGAGTAATGAACAGAGTATTCAAAAATTTTGTCACCTGTAGGAGGGGGAGAAAACCACATATATCCACCGCTGGGCCCATGCTCGCCCGGCACATGCTCCTATACGGGTATGCCAGAACAGCAGCACCCCAGCAGTATTGGGGTAACTCATCCAGCTGCTGGAGATGATGGAGAAAGCGCATAGTCACTCTACTCCCCGAAGTGTCCGGGAACAAGACACACCCGAAAAGCAGGAGCAACGCCAACCGCGTGTACCCCTCAATCCAAAGATCCTCCATCTCCCCAGTAATGTCTAGGTGCAAAAACAACATCTGATCTCTAATGGCTAACAAAAGAACGCGACTGCCCCCAGCGCCACCCTCTGGTCTAAAACCAGTAAACTTCCCCATCATATCCAAAAACTGGGCACGCGTCATCCCTCTAATGTACTGGGGCAGTGCCATGGCCCGCCCATCTACGCGCAGCCCGTATAAAACCTGAACATCCTCCAACGTGATGGTGGCCTCTCCGGTGGGCAAGTGAAAAGTATGTGTCTCCGGTCGCCGCCGCTCTACCAACGCCATGATGAGAGACCAATCGAGTTGCATCCGTCCAAGCGAAAAAATCGTATAGAAGCCCGTAGCCTGTAGGCGCTCGACTACGCGGCCATGGAAAGGATGCTCCGCCATGAACTCCCACAAATCGTCGGGTCTCCTGGGGCGGAGCGGCTGCTCCGATAGCTGTCCCTCCCATACAAAGGAGGACCTATGGTCGCCCTGCAACACTAATAGCTGATCCTCGGCAGGTCCAGGATGCGCAGGCGGAGGAAAGGCCATGTCGTCTACTATAATTTAAACAAAATTTATTGTGTGTGTTAGTTTAATAAATTAAATAATTAATTATGTTTAGTACTGGACTGAATAATTATGTATGGGTTCCATGCTCGATTTTTAAGGCCCGGTAGCACCAAGCTATCCTTAATTATCATGTGTGTCATTTTCAATATTTTTAAGAATTTGTTAGTTTAATAAATTAAATTAAAAATTCTTGAATTGGACTTAATAATTATGTATGGCCTTCCAGGCTCGATATTTGAGGCCCGGTAGCACCAAGCTATACTTAATTATTATGTGTGTCATTTTCAACATTTTTTAGAAATTTGTTAGTTTAATTAATTAAATTAAAAATTCTTGAATTAGACTTAATAATTATGAATGGCTTCCAGGCTCGATATTTGATGCCCGGTAGCACCAAGCTAACTTAATTATTATGTGTGCCAATTTCAATATTTTTAGAATTTTGTTAGCTTAATAAATTAAATTTAAAAATTCTTGAATTGGACTGAATAATTAAGTATGGGCTCCAGGCTTGATTTTTGAGGCCCGGTAGCACCGACTTATCCTTAATTATTATGCGTGTCAATTTTAAATTTTTAGAATTAATTTAATAAATTAAATAATTAATTATGTTTAATATTGGACTGAATAATTATGTATGGGTTCCAGGCTCGATTTTTGAGGCCCGGTAGCACCGAGTTATCCTTAATTATTATGTGTGTCAATTTCAATATTTTTACAATTTTGTTAGCTTAATAAATTAAATAATTAATTATTTTAATATTTGACTGAATAATTATGTATGGGTTCCAGGCTCGATTTTTGAGGCCCGGTAGCACCGAGTTATCCTTAATTATTATGTGTGTCAATTTTAATATTTTTACAATTTTGTTAGCTTAAGGAATTAAATTAAATAATATTGAATTGGACTGAATAAATATGTATGGGTTCCAGGCTCGATAATGGGGTTAAATTTACAACATATATTAATTTGTTACTTTTGTAAATTTATTATTATAAACTAAATAAGTAATTTTGTAAAGTGTAATCTAAAAGGCTCTACTACGCTAAAAGGCTATATATTTTACTACACTAAAAGGCTCTATATTTTACTACACTAAAAGGCTCTATATTTTACTACACTAAAAGGCTATTTATTTTACTACGCTTTTTATCTATTACATATAAAAACAACTAACATAAAATACAAATATGAACAACAAACTAAAAAAATCAAATTAATTTTTTATTTAACCAAATAAAAACATAACATTTAAAATACAAATAATTTATCAACTTTTAACATTTTTTTTACCAAAACTAATAAATCAAGTCGAATATAAATAAGATACAAATTTAAACACAAACATAACACAAATTAACATGGAAATACATTAAACAATGCAAATATGCATGTATTATACGAGTTTCTACATAAATAAAATCGAAATACCTCGATTAAAGTTTTTTGAATTTGACTGAAATGGAATTTTTACACTCAGAAAGAAGGAATCCAAAGCTTGTCTTGTGCCTGGGACCTACACTCTTTGCTCTTAAGGTGACGGGTGGGGCCGATTTTTTTTTTTTAAAAAATCACGGGGGGTGGGGGACCAGATTTGAGAGAGGAGTATTTTAATGGAAGCGGGGGAGTTTCTGTCGGTCCAAGGAAGAAGAAGGGATAAATTTTCAAAAGGCAATTCGCAGTATTATACTGCGAATTACCCTAATTCGCAGTATAATACTGCGAAATGCCTTTTGAAAAAAGAGCTCGGCCCATTTTAAGCAATTCGCAGTATAGTACTGTGAATTGCATAAAAAAAATATTTTTTTAATAATTCGCAGTATTATACTGCGAATTACTTTAACGGCTAAATTTTCGTTAATGTAATTTACAGTATAATACTGCGAATTACCTATTTGTATAACTTTTTTTTTTTAACATTAAAAATGTGCTTTTTGTACCAAAAAAAAAAAGCATCAAAAAAATTTCGGACCCATGATAGCTCAAGGGCTTGTTGAACCAAATGATTGAATTTCAAAATTCAGATTGTGACATATATTTGATAACCTTTCGACATTTGAAATATGACATTGTGATCTTTCATGCATAGTGCACACTAAAGATTAGCGACTTATTTTTTATTAAGGAGTCGAATATAAAATGCTCTTTCGTGCTAAATTTTCCATTGTTATTGTTGTGTTAGATTTTGGACGAGATCACAATTTGTACATAAATAATAACTTATAAGATTAACTTATTGGATTCGGTCAAACCCAGAAATTGCCTTCTAGCTCGGGCCCTGTATGTCCCTCAAAGTTATTTTATTTCTTTTCTCCCATGCTGCCAAGTTTTTCTTTTCAAATTTTATTAAAGTTATTTGAGAAAGTGTTTTTTTAGTCAAGATAGCTTTGAGCAACGATGCAGGATCAAAAGAATTTTTTTAGAATTCATTGAACATGGGTGCACCATTAAAAAAAGTATTAAATGAAAATTGATCCATATTTCTCAAGGTAAATAACCTAGTATTCAATCAAGTGCACTATTTAATCTTTTTGGAGCATGGGTGTCAACATATAATATTAGACTAATTTTAAAAAATATATACAAAAACTACCTAGTTTGACACTAAGAGCATGGGTTCACGTGCCCCTTAATTGAGGCTATAGATAATGGTTGGTATATTTGCTCTATTTAGAACTTACCATCAAAGCAAGCTTGCGCACACTTTGACAAATTGGTACTGAGTATTTATTTGTCTCTGCCAAGATTTATTTTTAAACCCCGGCTAAACACTTGATGAAATTGTAATAAACTTGAACGCAAGTTTTTCCCTTAACCTTTAATCTATCCCATATTTGCTTGAAAATTTGAAGGCTAAATCTCACTTGTACTTCATACAAATACGAATTTTGTATATTTTCCCTATAATATTGTTTATTCCTAAAACTGTATATCCATTGACCAATATGCCCTTGATTCCACCTCCCCCAAAAGTTTTCCCCTATTTAAGCAGACGCTTCAACCAAAAAATAGCTTTGAGCATAGCCTTAGAAATGAAGAAGAATGAGGCAACAGAGAGATTGGGATTTTCTGTAAAAGGGTGGTTGCCCCTCTCTGTTATGTCTATGATTTCTCCATTGAAAATCAACAGCCCTTTCAATTAAACCAAAAAAACAAAAACAAAAAAAATCATCCAAACACACCCCTAATATATATTCCTCTTCCTCTTCCTCCTCTGCTTTGTGCTGCTGCTACTGAATACTGATGTATATAAATGGGCTGTGATGATTGCTTTTTTCCTTTTTGGGCTATGTTCAATTCACGGCATTGAGAAAATATCCGACCCGTATCTTGGCGGGGCGACCCGGTCCGGCTTTTGTATAGCTAACTGGTGTTTGCAGCCATGGCGGCGTCGCCTTCTCTTTTGCTTTGACAAAAAATACAGCAAAACTGAGCCCTCACGAAAAGTTCCGTCTAATAGCCTGTTTGGCCGTGCTTCTAAAATCAGCTTATTTTGTAGTAGCTTGTTTGGTCGTGCTTCTAAAATCAACTTTTTAGATTTAAGAAACTAACCATTATTTTTTGAGAAGGGAAAAGGTTAGCCCAGAAGAATTGAAGAAATGAGGCAAAAGCAGAGAGTTTGGGATTTTTTTTTGAAAGGGTGGTTGCCCCTCTCTTTTTCACCATTGATTTTCCTTCAGTATTTTTAAAATAAAATAAAAAACCAACAACCCTTGTTTATGTCTTTATGACAAAAGCAGAAGCAGCAGAAATGATTTAAGTTATATGTTTGGAAACAGCCTCTCTTACCCTAAAGTACAAAAAATAGAAAACCTTCTGCCACAACTATTAGATTGCAAACCCAGTAACTCAAAATGATTTGTAGAAATTCAAACTCGATAAAGTTCAAAGCCTGAATTTGCCTCTGGATGGATATGCATTTATCTGTCTGTACACTAACACCCTGTTTGGATGGTTGTTCTCATTGTATTGTATTGTTTCCTTGAAAAGCTACACAACAAAAAATATGGAGAAGAAATTATAATCAGGTGATAGAAAAGACCTCAATGGTCCCTGTTGATAGGCCGTATCTTGGCAGGGCAGCCCGATAACGGGATTTGCAGCCATGGCGGTGCCTGAGATGGAGTACAGATCTGAGCCTCAAAATCTTTGTTATTATCATCTCTACTTTACCAGAAGGAAGAATGAGGCCAACAGGGGTAAGAGGGAGTTCTAGGAGGGTGGTTGCCCGCTCTGCTTGGCCTATGATTTCTCCATTAATAAAACCAACAGCCCTCATTCCTCAAAGAAAACCAAGAAAATAAACATCTGGCGCCTTTGCGTTAGGCATTACTGGATTCTTAGTTTGAGCGCTTAGTCCAAAACTTCCACACTTACATGAAATGAATGAAAGAGTCAACATTCTGAAAGAGGCAGTTATTGTACTTGTTTATTTGTGCTATAAACCATAGGGCATAGAGACAATTTGACCCGTATCTTGGCTTGGTATGGGCTGTGATTTGAGGCTCCTCTTTCACATGCAATCGATTGTTTGCAGCCATGGCGTGGCTGGCTTCTCTTTTGTCTGACCAAAACACACATCTGAGCCGTATTTGCTTGAAAGAAATTAAACAGAATCTTTTCCATGATCTAATGTATCACCATCTTTTTTCAGTATCAGTTGAGCATAGCCTAGAAATATAGAAGAATGAGGCATCTCTCGGGATTTTCTGTAAAGGGAGGTTGCCCCTCTCTGCTATGCCCATGATTTTTCCATTTATAACCAAAAAAACAACAGCCCTTTCAAATAAACAAGAAAAAAGAAAAAAATGAAATCCTTAATCCAAACACACACTATTATGTTGCTCTTCCTCTTCTTTTTGTGCTGCTGCTACTGATGTTGTAAAGGGGCTATGAAGATTGTTTTCCTTTCTGGGCTATGTTCAGTCATGGCATTGAGAAGATACCTGACCCGTATCTTGGCAAGGCGACCCAGTATGTCTGTTGTATAGCAAACTGGTGTCTGCAGCCATGGCGACGTCGCCTTCTCTCTTGCTTTGATCAAAACAGTAAATCTGAGCCCTCAATGGCCAAACAGAGAGAAAGTCAGCTCATAGAATGAGACATCAGTGAGAAATATGATTTATTTATTTATGCATTTGTTCAGTTTTGCTGGTAAGCCCATGATTTCTTGCTGGAAGCAATTAACAGTGCTTAGTTCTTTCTGTAAATCTAGCTTCGAGAGATGCATGTTGTTGTTGATCTGCTGATGCTGTTGCTGCTAGCGTTCTTTTGTTCTCGCTGCTATGTGGCTGCATTAACACCCAAACAGCGAGGATCATACTAAAGATAAAGGTAAAAGTGAACATTTTGAGGCAGTGATGATATGACTCTTGCAAATGGCGTTATTGATTTGCATTGAGATGGCCTTAAACTCGTATCTTGGCAGGGCAATCTGGAGGAGATTGCAGCCATGGCGGTTTTGAGAAACTCAATGCCTGATCCTAGTGAGATATGAGCCTCATATTAAAATAGCAAAAATCTCATTAGTTTAAGTCTGAGGCTGTTGTGAAAGCAGAAGGCTGTGGGGAGTTTCAATTAGTGGTTTTGCCCCTTTCTGTCATTCTCTAATGCCGATGATCACTCAAATGAAAATATTTTCCGATTCCAAAACCAGCCTTTTGGTGAAAACACATATAACCTCTCTATTTTCCTTTCTTGTCACTCCTGTTTCATTTTATGTGATGCAACGAGGCTATGAAGATTTTGTTCTTCTGTGAAAGATGAATCAAGACATATTTCTATTGAGCTGGGAAAAAACTGTAACTTGGCATGGCAGCTCAGACGGGTCTGTGAGATATTGGAAAATGTTCCATTTCTTTGGTGCTTCTTCCGTGTCTCTTAAGGCTAACTGATGCTTGCAGCCATGGTGGTTTTACCAAAGCATTTTTGGTTTTTGTCTGAGGAAAGGCGAATCTGAGCCTACCCCGTTACTTTGAATTTGGTTTTTGGTTTTCGCTCTTCTCCTTGGTTTTACCCCGTTAATCTGAGCTTACCCCTAAAGCTTTCACTAATGACTCACTCCTAATTCCTAAAGAAAGAAAGCGAAATATGTACAAGAGTTTTTGGTTTTTGCTCTTCTCCTTGGTTTTGCCTCATTAATCTGAGGTTACCCGAAAGCTTTCACTAATGACTCACTTCTAATTCCTAAAGAAAGAAAGAGAATATATACAAGAAATAATTTATATTTACAGCTTTCAGGATAGTAGAAAAAGAACTGTTATGGAGATGTAACAAAACAAAAGCTCAGGAGAACGAGAATGAGGCTTCAGAGAGTTTAGGATTTTCTGTTGAAAGGGTGGTTGCCTCTCTCCGTATTAGCCCATGATTTCTCCCTTACTGTAACAATCCCAACAACCCTGTAAAAATTTCATGGAATGGCCAGTTTTCGCCTTGCTATTTAAGGTATATCCATTTTTTTCAAAGTATTTAACTTGTAGCCAGTGTTGGTGAGTATGATTGACTGCTTGAAAGAGGCGCTGATGATTTTTTTTCAATCTTCTATTTCCTTCTGAGCCTATCAATTGGGCATTTGAGATGACTTGACTCGTATCTTGGCAGGGCATGCCCCCAAATTTCTGGTGGTTTTTTGCAGCCATGGCGCCGTCAGATCTCCTTTTGCTTGACTTAGAACACAGATCTGAGCCTCAAAACCGTAATCAGGTCTACCTGGTTGGACCGAAGCAGGGGTGATTTGCACAAATAGGATGCTTTGAGGTCATTATTTATATTTTGTTGCGTAAGCTTTTTTGCAATCTCATTAGTTTAAGTCTGAGGCTGCGGTGAAATCAGAGAGCTGTGGGGAGTTTCAATGGGTGGTTTTGCCCCTCTCTGTCATTCTGCGCTGCCAATGATCACTCCAATGAAAAACTTTTCCAACTACAAAACCACCCTTTTGGTGAAAATACTTATGACCTTGCTAGTTTCCTTTTCTTGTTACTCCCTCGGTTTCATTTTATGTGCAATGAGGCTATGCAGATTTTGTTTTTCTGTGGAATATGAATCAGATATCTTTCTATTACAACAACAGCAATATACCCGGTGAAATCCCACAAGTGGAGACTGGGGAGGGTAGTGTGTGCGCAGACCTTAACCCTACCCTTGTGAAGATAGAGAGGCTGTTTCCGATAGAGTTGTAGAAATTAGGATTTGAGATTATCCGGACCGTATCTTGGCAGGGCATGCCCCCATATTTCTGTTGGTTTATGCAGCCATGGCGTCTTTGGATCTCTTTTTGCATCTGTCGAGTTGAAGTGTCTCAATGACAATTCATGACTAGTTTGAGGGCTATCTATGTATTCTGCCTATCTGAAATAACAATACGTATACAATACAATGGTAACAACCATCCAAACAAGCTGTTATTAGTCTATTTGGTTTAGAGACAAAGAATGAGGGTTGCAGAGAGTAGAGGGAAGCTCAAAGGCAGCTGCTCCTCTCTACAATACTTGTGATTTCATATTTGCCAAAAAAGGCCCTACTGCAGTAAACTGTATCCAAACGACCGCTCTACTCTATCTCCAAATCCTCACTCCCAAAAAGCGAATCAATAATAATAATATTAATTGTAGCAAAAATATGAGGCTGTGATGATATTTTTTTCTTCTGTCTCTGAGCAAATCAATTAGGGAAGAGAACAATTGGACCCGTATTTTGGCGGGGCGACCGGGACGGTGACGACTTGCAACCGGTATTTGCAGCCATGGCGGTGTCTCCAATCTCTTGCCCTAGCTTTAACATTACAGATCTGAGCCTCAATTGGAAGGTTATTTTCTTAAGTTCAAAATTACAGGCTCTTTTCCGTTGAATTTTGAAATTCGCAGGTGAAAAACTCACGAGAATTTCCCCTAAAAACGCAAAAATGCTAGCCCAGAAAGAAATGAGGCAAAACAGAGAGAGTATTGGGATTTTCATTAGAAGGGTGGTTGCCCCTCTCTGTTCCGCCATTGATTTTCCTCCATTTTCAGAAAAAAAACCGACAGCCCTTGTTTATGACAAAAGCAGAAGCAGACAATGTTTGGACATAAGAACTTTAAAATTCCTGAAAAAAGTAAAAAAAAATTCAGTGGAATCTGTATTTACTTTTTGTGTGTGTGTGTTTATGTTGCTGATGGGAGTTACATAAAGAGGCAGTGATGATGATGTTTCTTGTATCCGGGCTAACCGATTTGGGCATAGAGATGACCGGACCCGTATCTTGGCGTGGCAACCCGGTATGGCCTGTGATTGAGTTTTCTGTCTCTCACTTGCAACTGGTGTTTTGCAGCCATGGCATAGCTGGCTTCTCTTTGCCTTATCATGACATATCTGAGCCCCATTTGCAAGAAAATAAAAAAAGATAAATCTTTTCTATGATTTGGATTAACAGGAAAATAGGAAGGGGAGTCTTGGATTAACGGTAAGTTCTCGTGTGACCTATCCGTCACGAGTTCGAGTTGTGAAAGCGTTCACAGCTATTGATGCTTGCATTAGGGTATCTGTCTACATCACACTCCTTGAGTGGGGCGACTCCCCGGGCCCTCGCGAATGTGGGTTGTCTTGTGCACTGGGCTGCCCTTGGATTAACAGGAAAATAACAAAAAACTTATTTGTTGGTTTGAGGCTGCGGTCAAGGCAGAGAGATGTAGGAAGTTTCATTGGGTGGTTTTGCCCCTCTGTAATTGTCTGCTGCTGATGATTGCTCAAATGCTCGTTTTTAAAACCACCCTTTTGGTGAAAATAAGTATTACTCCCTCCCTTTCAATTTATGTGACGCAATGAGGCTATGAAGGAAGGGGATCCTTGGCTTAGCTGGTAAAGTTGTTGGCATGTGACTAGGAGGTCACGGGTTCAAGCCGTGGAAAAAATGCAGGGTAAGACTGCGTACAATAGACCCTTGTGATCTGGCCCTTCCCCGGACCCCGCGCATAGTGGGAGCTTAGTGCACCGGCCTGCCCTGAATGAGTCTATGAAGATCTTATTCTTTTGTGGAAGATGAATCAGACTCATAAATCTATTGAGCTGGGAAAAATTTGTAATCTTGGCGTGGCAGCTCAGATGGGTCTTTGAGATATTGGAGAAAAATCCGTTTTTGTGTGTTTTCCCTGTTTCATAAGACTAACTGATGCTTGCAGCTATGACGGTCGTTTTCCAAAGCTTTTTGGGTTTTGTCTGAGTAAAGGAGAAGAATGAGGCAACAGAGAGATTGGGATTTTCTGTAAAAGGGTGGTTGCCCCTCTCTGTTATGCCTGCGATTTCTCCATTGTAATCAACAGTCCTTTGAATTAAACCCAAAAGAAAAAAACTTCATCATCCAATCAGACCCTTAATACATTGCTCTTACTCTTCCTCCTCTCTGTGTTGCTGCTACTGAATACTGATGTATATATAGGGGCTGTGATTTTTGCTTTTCGTTTCTGGGCTACGTTCGATTCATGGCATTGAGAAAATATCCGACCCGTACCTTGGCAGGGTGACCCTGTACGGCTTTTGTATAGCAAACTGGTGTCTGCAGCTATGGTGGCGTCGCCTTCTCATTTGCTTGCACAAAGAATACAGCAGATCTGAGCCCTCACGAAAAGCCCCCCATGTAATAGCCTGTTTGGCCGTGCTTCCAAAAACAGCTTATCAGCTTTAAAAAACTAACCCTTAATTTTTGAGACCTCACAAGTATGCAATTATGAGAAGGGAAAAGGTTAGCCCAGAAGAATTAAAGAAATGAGGCAAAAACAGAAAGTTTGGGGTTTTCTTTGAAAGGGTGGTTGCCCCTCTCTGTTTCACCATTGATTTTCCTCCATTATTAAAAAAAAAAGGAACCAACAGCCCTTGTTTATGTCTTTATGACAAAAGCAGAAGCAGCAGAAATGATTTAAGTTATATATACTGACATCTCTGTTTGGAAACAGCCTCTTTACCCGTATAAGGTAGGGTTAAGGCTGCGTACTCACTGTCCTCCCCAGACCCACTTGTGAGATTATACTGGTTTTTTGTTGTTGTTGTTGCATACTGACATCTCTGTCTTTCCTCTGTGTTCATTTACACTATTGATGGTAGGTACATAAAGTGGCAGTGATGATGTCTCGGCTAACCGATTTGGGCATTGAGTTGAGCCGACCCGTATCTTGGCGTGGCAACCCGGGATGGCCTCTGTGGAGAGTTTTGAATCTTCTCTAACACATGCAACTGGTGTTTTGCAGCCATGGCATTGTTGGTTTCTCTTTTGCCTTATCATAACACACATCTGAGCCTCATTTGCTTGAAAATACCAAAACAGAATCTTTTCCATGATTCATTGTCGGGATATATCGAACCTGCGACCTTCTGCCACGACTAAAAATTAGAATTTGGGATTATCCGGACCGTATCTTGGCAGGGCATGCCCCCAGATTTGTGGTGGTTTATGCAGCCATGGTGTCATCGGATCTCTTTTTGCATCTGTCTAGTTGAAGTGTCTCAACGACAATTCATGACAAGTTTAAGGGGCTATCTATGTATTCTGCCTATCTGGAATAACAATACAATACAATGGTAACAACCATCCAAACAAGCTGTTATTAGTCTATTTGGTTTAGAGACAAGTTATGCCACTCGCGGTGAGTATGATTGACGGCATGATTTTGTGATTATTTCATTCCATTCTGAGCTTATTAATCAGGCATTTGAGATTATCTGACCCGTACTTTGGCGGGGCATTCTTCAGGTTTCCCTTGGTATTTGCAGCCATGGCGGCGGCGGACTCTTTTTGCTTGAGCTATATAACACAGATCCGAGCCTCAAAAAGGAAACACGAAAATGGTGATACAAGTCTGAGGCTGTGGTGAAAGCAGAGGGCTGTGGGGAGTTTCTATGGGTGGTTTTGCCCGTATTTTTCTGCTCAGATGATCTCTCAAATGAAAATTTTTCTAATTGCAAAACCACCCTTTTGGTGAAATTTCAGTTGATCTCCCTCTTTTCCTTTTCTAGTAACTCCCTCCGCTTCATTTTATGTGCAATGAGGCTATGAAGATCTTGTTCTTCTGTGGAAGATGAATTCCATAATTTCGTCATCATTACCTGTACTTTGAAACCTTTTCGGTTTTTGTCTGAGAAAAGGCGAATCTGAGCCTACTACATTGCCTTGATTTTTTTAAAAGAATGAGGCTTTTAGACTCGATAAATGAAGGAGTTCTTAAGGGTGGTTGCTCTGTTTCTCTTTGAGTTGATACATATCTTGGCTTGACGAAGTTCAGTCGAATTTGTGAGTTGGTTTTATTTTCTCTTACAGTAAGCCATCTGCCTTTTGTAGCCGTGGCAGACTTGCCCATTTTCTGATGGTTTTTGGACAAATCTGAGCCTCATTTCTGTTAAACTTTGAATTCCTTCTACAATCTATCTGCTCTTATTATGTTCTTTTTAATTTATAATTTTTTGAATTCTCTAACATTCTCATCATGACCTCCTCCCAAGTTCAAAAAGAAGTGTCATTATTTTCTCTGTTTTTGAACTCTCCGTAAAGAATCAGAATGTTGCCTCTTTGATACGGTTAATTTGTTTCCCTCTGTCTAGAAATTTAGGCCTGTGAATACTGACGTCTATGTTGGAGTTAACTTTGTTGCTGAGATGTTTTATTGGATTTATTCTTGTTGAATTCCATAATTTCGTCAGCATTACCTGTACTTTGAACAATATACTCACCTTTGAAAATAATGTAATACTACTGAATCAATTTATGCAGGAACTCTGCAGTTGCTGCTGTCAGAATACAAGCCAAAAGCTAAAATTTTCATCTGTTGATAACTTTTGTAAGCCACTATTTTTTTTTTAAAGATTGTATACCACTTGTTTCCTTTTAAGGAGTATGATATTAAGCAAACTTGAATTTTGTACGAGAATATGGAGAAAGATTGAAAGGGGTGTCACATTCCCGACTTGCATTTCTATTAAAGAACAATGTTTTTCATTTTTCACCTTTGGCCTGTGACGAGTTGGTACTGGAGGAGGGGTAAAGATGTAAGCTATCATGAGGCTCTAAGGGCATCTCCAACCTTTACCCCATTTTTGGGCCCCAAAATGGGTATTTCCCCATTTTGGGGACAACTTACTCTACCATTCCTCCATTTTTCCCCCCAAAAGAGAATATACTTTTTTATATTCTTCTCTTTCTTCTATATTATATTGTTATCTTTTCATTTAATGTATTTTTAATTTTCACTTTTCAATTTTAGCAACATCTAATATTTTATATTTGCACTATTCATTTTTTGAGATGATTATATATTTTTTGTACAATTATAACTTATAATAAAATTAACTTACAATTTTACATAAAAATAATAAATGCACGAAAATTAATTTATCAAAATTATACGCCAAAGTTAAGATGTAAAATTAATATTATAAAGATATACATAGACATAATTAGATAAATTAAAAGAGTTAAATAATAAAATAATAATAAAATATGCATGAATAGTAATGGGGGAGATGAATAGTGTACCCCATATTTGAGGAAACATGGCAAAAATGGGAGAGGGTTGGAGCTTCATTATTGCAAAAGTTGCCCCTATTATAGGGAAATGGGGAAGGTAGATGGCCTAATATACACATAAATATAATCTGTCTGTCAAGTGTCAACTATTCAACTAAAATAGCAATATAATGGGGAAATGTGATTTATTATTTGTGTACGTGGGTTCATTGCAGTAGTTCGCATGCACTTTGTGATTGACTAAACAAGAAGTCATAAACCTTGCTCTTTTCCTTCAATTATATTTGTTCATTCTGTGCATTAAGGAATATCCTAAATGATGAGTAATTCAAGTAAGCTATGGATTAATATCCAAATGAAGCTTTTTGTCATAGTTACACTGATAGATGAGATTCTCTTTTAGGTCTATTTTGTCACGACTAGTCCAAAAAAATTGTTTCATAGGTGTATTTTCTGCCTTATTTAATCTGGTTCTTGATGCTGCTGTGTGTTATCATAGGGTTTATTTTTCTTGATGAATAATCTCATAGTTTGTGATGTTGTAGATAACAAGAGATATAATACTTGATAAAGAAACAAGAGACATGATACCTGTCAAAAAATAGAAAGAAAAAAAAAACAAGAGATATTACATGAGTACTGAATGGTGTGGCCTAGTTGTCAAGGAAGTGGGTACAAACCTTAGAGACTAGGGTTAAATCCTAGCTGAGACCCCATAAAAAAAAGAAAAAGATGCCAGATGATTTCTTCTTATTTTTCTATGCCTTGGTTGATTAGAGTAACTGTATTGGGGAAAGGCAAGCAAGAACCCAGTGGAATAGTCGAGGCGTGCACAAGGTGGTCCGAGTAAAACCATTACAAAAAGGAAATACATGTCTTTTCTAAGCTGTTTGTTGCTGATCCTTGGTTGTTAAGGAAGCATTTACCTCCCAAAATTTCCAAGTAAGTTTTCATGCACCTCCAGAGAGCGGTTTTTAAGTGACATAAGCATGGTTTTCTATTGTCTTGAAAAGGGTCTTAACATTATTAAAGTTGAGAATAATTGTATGTTTAAGCCAAAAAATAAAGTTGCAAATAAAGCAACTTTGTCGAGGGAATCTGTTTTGTGGATTCCCTCTTTTTCCTGTTGCAATATATTCATTGGACATAGCTCATAAGCAAGATAAGCTCTGGATTAGGTGGATTTACACATGCTACATCAAGGAGCAGCCGATAGAAAATGTCCAGGTTCCAAAGGAAGCCTGTTGGATGATCCGAAAGATTTTCGAGGCAAGGATGAGTCTGGGACAAAGTGGCACAGTGGATGTAAATGCATTGCAACAGAGCCTAATCATGGGAGCAGCACCTTCAATGAGTGATTGAAAATGCTAAAGGTAAATCTCAGTGGGCTCAAGCGTTCAGGATGTTATACTCAGAGCTCATATACAACATATGGATTGAAGAAACTGGAGCATCTTTGAAAAGAGAAGTAGAAGTTGGGAAAACATTGCCAAAGAGATCGTCTATGTGAGCCTGTGTTAGAGCCAGAGGCGGACCTATGTGTTATAGTGAGGGGTCGCCGGACCCCGTAAGCTTCGGCAGAAATCTTTTATATGTATATGTATATATATACCTTCAAAATGGTTAATTTAAAGCACTTGGCATCTTGAACACTAAAAGCCTTTGGGGGTTTAGGGTTTAGGGTTTGGGGGCACTAGTTGAGTAGAATAATGTGCCCCGTCGCGGATCCGCCTCTGGTTAGAGCTCCACCTAGACTAAGGAATGTAATTCATAGTTATACTTTCTAGTGAAGTCTGATAGCTCAAATAGTCAATTACAGCTAGCTAGCTGTGTATAGCTTACCTATTGCCTTTGTACAGTTTCACTTGGACATTAATATAAAAAGTTTAATTACCAAAAAAAAAAAAGTTACACTGGACAAGCTTGGATCCATATTTTTACCTTATATTTCAAGATTTCGTTTTCAGGTTTTTAACTTTGTGCTCAGTCCTACATGCTTCTTTTGTAATTATGTTTGTTTTCCCCTTTTTAATGTGATTTTCTTTTGTAACTACGTTTTTACTCGTTTTGAGGAGTGTTATGTAATTCCTTTTTCTTTTCATTCTTTTTCTTCCCCCTATTTTCTACTTGTTTTCAAGATTGCTAAGAGAGTTGCAATTTTCTTTTCACACTTTTCCGTGTCTGGCTATAGATGTTGCTCGTATTTATATTATTCTCTTCTTAATGGGGCAGGAATTCTCGGTTGTTTTCATAAATATGCTTTGGTCTAGTGTAAGAGCACAATGTGTGATGTGAGGTTAGGCGCACTTCATAATTCGACCTCAGTTTTAGACTCAAGTCTAGTATTCAAGTAGGGACGGGTAGAGGTACGGGCCCATTAGCTACTGGGTATCAAACTGTATAACGTTCATCCTCGAGGATCTTTTATTTATCAACAAAAGCTCTACTGTTCTTATGAAGAAGGATAATATTTTGAAATTTTTTGAGTCGTAGTGAAACCATATGTTTAGCTGAAATAAATGTTACTACTAGGAAATTACTACCCGAGTAGTGTAACATTCTAGGTAATATTACATTGAGAAGACGCAACAGAGATATTGGGTATAGAACAAAGCAAATTTTAGACTCTAGTAACGTGTTTTATAAAAGTGTTGAGTCTATCAAATGCGTAGTCCCTAAGGTGGGATGTTTGCGACACCGTGGCAAAATACGAGAGACATATGAAGTATACAAGGAGGCAAGCATTAGATTTTAATGACGTATTCTAAAGTCGTGCAAGCTTAGTTTAATGTATGCAGACAATATCGACAATATCACTAGTAAATTGGGGTATTGTTGTGGTGACAAGGATTTCAGCAGGAATTCTACTACTTGCATTGAGCTAAAATATGTTACTTACTTTCCTTTGATTTGGCGTAGATTATTTTCTAATAATCAATTCTTAATATGTATTCGATATAAGAACATTTCATAGTAATAAGTGATACCCACTGCCTTTTTCCTTTAGAGAGGCTTATTCTTCTTTCCCAAGTTCTAAATATTTTCGAAAAACATTTTCTATTGTACAAAATAGTCTGTTGGTGCGTAGCTAATTGAGGAAACATTTCCATAATGTATTATTTGCTTTCTAATTTTACTGGTTTTGTAATGCATAGCTTCCCATCTATCCACAATTAAATTTCTACTCGTAGAATATAAATTTCAATTGCTAATAAGGTGATATATGACTATCACCACACTGATATCACCAACGAAATTAAAAAATTTAGATTATCATATTAATTTAACATGTTATATGAATTAAGGAGCTCGATTCTTTGAACTTCAACACAGAAAGATTACGATTACGATTTGCATTATTGTAGATTGGTTGCTAGAATTAGTTGTCTTACTTGCAATTTGATTATCATAGTACTATATTCATATATATTCAGTTATTTGTTAAAATTTTCTGCTTGATTTTACTTCAAATTATCATGTGCTTCGTTTCTCGCTTTTCGCTTCAAAATCAAGGACCTTATCTTTTTGTGCCTTTTGCTTTCAACCCGCTGTTGAATCACATTCAGTTATGTGCTTTTAGAAGCAACGACGCACAAACAAAGAAGGAGACTAACCACTTAATAAAATAGGATTTAGGACTAAATTTGGTAACATTTGGCTAATATTGATGGTATTTTATGAAGGAAATTTTACCTCCTATAGCAAAGGTTAACACCTTATTTATTTTAAATAAAAATTATTTAAAAAAAATTATATTCTATAGATATCTTTTAATGTTTATAGCAAAATATCTCATTTTGGTACCTCCTACCCCTAAGCCACTAAATACGCTATTCAGTTACACTATTTTATTTCTCTCTCTAATTTGATACACATCATTCTCTCTTCCAAATAATACCAGATTCATTGACCGGCCACCACTTCTCTTGGCGACGACGACGTTGACGGATGTGATGCCTTCTCACAAATACCAAACCTCAAAATCCAGTAACTATCAATTACCAGAGAATCGGCCATGGTATTCAACGCCGGAGCTTAAAAGGAAAGAAGAGGGTGGCCAAATATAAAATATATTCCATGGAAGGAAAAGTCAAGACATCATTCAAAAATGGTTATCGTTGGTTCAAACATGTGGCAGAAGCAATGTACATGATGCGTGGGAACAGTGAGATTCAGGGTTTTTGCTCGACGGCGGATTCGCCAAAAATTAGGGTTTGTTCTTGAACAAAGACGGCGGATTTTGGGGCTGAGCAACTTGCTTTTCTGTTAATATATTTCAATGTATGTTCAACGTATCACGCTGTATTTTCATGTATTTCATTGTGTTCATTGTCTTTTTTTTCATTGTAATTCAATGTATCTCGTTGTATTTCATTATATTCACTGTCTTTTATTCCATGGAAGGAAAAGTCAAGAAATCATTCAAAAATGGTTATCGTTGGTTCAAACATGTGGCAGAAGCAATGTACATGATGCGTGGGAACAGTGAGATTCAGGGTTTTTGCTCGACGGCAGATTCGCCAGAAATTAGGGTTTTTTCCTTGAACAAAGACGACGGATTTTGGGGCTGAGCAACTTGCTTTCCTGTTAATATATTTCAATGTATGTTCAACGTATCACGCTATATTTTCATGTATTTCATTGTGTTCATTGTCTTTTTTTTCATTGTAATTCAATGTATCTCGTTGTATTTCATTATATTCACTGTCTTTTTTTCTCATTGTATTTCAATGTATCCCGCTGTATTCTATGTATTTCATTGTATTCACTGTCTCGCTATATGCCATAAATGTATTCATAAGTTTTTTTTTAATTAATATAATTTATGTATTCATATGTATTATATAATTTCTCTGAAGATTGCTATGCTTTTGGGTATTTTTCGGTTGAGAATCTTTTTTATAACTGAAAATAAAAAAATTTGTATGTTATAATTGAGTTTGTTGAGTTATATTAGGAGTCTATTATGTTAATTGATTCACTTTTCGTTTTAAAAACATTGTAATCTCTCTGTGCAGCTGTAATCCCATGTTTCACTCCATGAATACAGTCGAATACAACAACTGATTAGCTGGACTTCCCTGATTCACGCCTATTTTTGCTATTGTATTCATGAATACAATAGCTTAAATACATCAAATATATTTTATAACCACATAAAAGGTATCTATAATCCGTAATATAGCAAATGATATTTATAGATGGCTAATTACTACTAAAAGATAGTGCTTTATGAAAATTTCTCATGAATGGACTAATTTTGATACTAGTATTTTAGCTCTGAAAGGCCTGAATGGGTTGTTTTTTCATTATTTAACTTCAAACTACGTAGTTAAATTCAAGGTCCAAATTTATATGGGCAAGTCCCGTTAGGCCTCAAATAATGAGCACATATCCACAAGACTATTAGTTTACCTCAAAGTTCAAGCTAACATATGTCAAATTATGTGTCGCTGAGTCAAATAAAACAACGAAAAGAATTAGGGATAATTTCACATAAATATAACTCACACACCTGACTTGCAACATAATAGCCTAGATACCACTTTACAAATCTATAGCCCAAAAAATAATAGGCTAATTCCCGAAAGACAGCTTATTTTGCTCCCTCTGTATACAACCAGTTGTTTTCATTCTGTTAATTTCCTTTGATTATTAAGCATTTGATAAAAAAATGCAAATCAGCCACAACGCAACTCAAAAATCCTGAATAATACATATTATCTGAAGGTAAGAAATTCAAACACTTTTATGTGCAATTGCTGAAGCAATCCAACAGGATAAAAGAAAAATAAAAACTTGATAAATGAATTGTAGAATCCCTCCAACGCTCATACAACACATTACACGAAAAAGAAGAAGAGAAGGAAGTGTCAAACTTCTGTAGAGGCCTCTTACACACTAACAATGTATATACATCCTTATAAACTGAAAAAATATATAATTATACAATATTATACACAAATATACACATTTATACACAATTATACAATACTGTATAACTTTGTATAAACATGTATAATAGTATATAAGAGGTGCTTGTATATCATATACACAATTATACACTAGTATACAGTGTTGATACAAACTGCTACATAGTTATGATTTTTATCCAAACCCAATTTCAGATTCGAGACTTCAAGGGCATAATAATAATGACCAGAACTTCAAACTTCAAAATCTTCCAACATTAGTGGTTATTTTAGGTGCAAATCAAGTTTGAGAGCTATTTATTTTCAAATCTGTGTGTATTTTCATGTTTCTTTCAAAAATATTCTTCATTCTTCTGCTTGCCACCATGGACGACGGAGTCTTTCTTCGAGCCTTCTTCGAGCCATTAATGGCAGAACTGCGTGGGGGGTAGAGGGTTTAACTTCCACAAGTCCTCTTGGTACATTTACCGCAATGGGTGGCTTAGTTGGACAAATTCCACCTTCGCCAGTATATTCCCTTAATGCGAAGATATACTCGAGAACATTACCAGAGTAGTCATGATATGGATCATTCTGGTAATCAGTAGGACTCACACTGCGTGCACTGCTACGAAGCTCCTCTTCTTCATCCCAATCCTTTTCAAACCTACAAAACGATGGGATAGGGGGAATTGTCCCCGGTAAAAAATCCAGCGAAGCATTAAGATCTGATGCATATTCAACAAAGTAAGTGTGTGAGATTTCAAGGGCAATCACGTATGTAGGTCGTGGCGGTGGTGGTAGTTGTAAATCCTCAGAAAACTGAAATCGAGTGAAAAGGAAAAAAGAGATTTATGTGGGTTAGAAAGAAAGAAGTGAGAGGCGGTGAGAGAGAGAAGGGAATGAAGAAAGAAGAAAATAATAAAAACCCTAAAAGTATGTCTTTAATAGTGGGCTAAAGGCTGAAATTTTTTTTTCAAGTTATATACAACATGGGCTAAATAGGGTAAGAGCTTCAAATGTGGGCCATTTTCGATTGGGCTATTAGGCCAAGTGACATGGGCTGTAATTCTTTCAAAGAATTATGCTATATGTCGAGTAACGTAGCATGTCAAGTCAAATCAACTTGTTAATACAAGCTCGCACATGTCCCAAACATGACTCTTAGTTCATCTTGAAGCATAAACTATTGTCACACTGTCAAATTAATTGACTCTAAATCAAACAAAATAATCAAAGGAAAATATTACATGTGAAATAGCATGGCATGCCAAGTCAATTCAACTCGCAATAAGGTTGCCTAAGTGTATAAGTGACATTCTGGCCAATCAAGTGGAAGTTTATCATAAGAAATATGAGACTTAAGTTTATAGTTCAAACAGACCAATTAAATTAAAGAAATAAAATTGATTTTATCACAATTATTCTGTTCTATATATCACTATAAATAAGAAAACCCCCATCAAGCCAACAGACACTAGAAATACATCCAGTGAGTTTAAGTAAAGCTAGAGACTATTATTTTCTGTGACTAATATATATCAACTATTAGCGACGAGTTCCATCCATTAACAAGCCAAAAATCCTGGAGATGGTAACCCAAATAGGCTCTTAATATTAAAATTATAATTTACAATTTTTACTTTGTCTTGAAATTTGTGTACACAAGTGTATTTGTGACAAGTGATGCTTGCTCTTTGGTCTTCCACCCACAATTGTTAGGTCCGAGTTACGCTGAAAGAGAAGTATGTAAATACTATAGATCCTCCTAAATTGGGAGGGAAAAAAAAGAGTGAATAACTATTTTTTACTTTTCTTATAAATTTGACATCCAAATGTTGAAATTTCAGAAAAAGTGAATAGTTTTCAAGTAAAAATGGTATTAGAAAATTAGAATTATGTTTGTACATAAATATAATTTGAAGCTGTTTTTAAATTGTTGTGAGTGATTTAAAGTTAATATTTTGAAAAACAGTTTCTTAGAGTTTTTTAAATTTTTAAAAAATTTCGAAATTCAAATTAAATTAAAATTTAATTTTTTTTATGACCAAACACTAATTTAAAAAAAAGTTACAAAAAAAAAATTATTGGCAAAGGAGCCCTTAGTATTTATAAAGGCCATTTCAATATTGTCAAAGTCATTCTTGAATTAAAAGAAAAAAACTGAAAATCACCACCTAAAAAAAGAAAGTCCAAACTATATTCAGAGAAAATGATCAAAATGGTCCTTAATGTATACGGGTTGGAATGTTTTGGTCCTTGATATTTACTAGTTCATAGGAATAGTCCTTAATGTATACAAAAGGTGATAGCTTTGGTCCTCGATAAAAAGACCCAACCCCAGCTCGCATCTCTTCCACCATTTCTGTTACTACCAAAGCACCCATTTCAAACAATCAAAACTGTTACACATGATTGATATGTTGAATGGAAGAAAATATCAAGAACAAGCTGAGTGAACCCATATGATATATCCAAAGACCAAAACTTGTTTTTGCACAACAGCTACAAAGCAAATTGGACAAGACGATTTTAACTGTCCTTGTTGGCCTTGTGGCGATTGCTCTTTCTATCAATCTTTGCCAATATAAAATCTTGTCAAGCAACATTATTGGTTGCATATCATGAATTGGCCCATCACCTCTTCTTCGACTATATTACTAGTCCTATAATGGCTACAATTTTCCGGTTCACCATTATTCTACTTCTTTGAATCTTTCCCAATAAGAAAAAAATTCAAACTTCATCAAGATACAAAGAAAAAGTTTAGAATTCCGTAGCACATTGAAAACTATTCTCTTAAGACTTAATGAAATTAAATTGGTTTTCCAAACTTGAATACTATAGAGAATATATTTCATGATCCATCGCCCAAGCATTAGATTCAAGTCTATGTATCTCTGTTTGCAAATTATAAATCAAACTGAAATTTTAACAAATGAAGTGATTAAAACAGATTCGCAAATAAATTCAAACAAGAAAAAAAAGGATTTCCATTTATAAAATTCATAAGATTAACAAGCAAAACAATTTAGCTTCCCAAGCAGATCCATTCTTGTTTGAGAGAGGGTTTGGATTTAAGGTCGTTAATGGTGAATGAGAGAAGAGGAGGGGGTAGTCGGGAGAGGCTGGGGTGAAGTTTAACAGAATTCTTTGTGTTCTACTGTTAGTTTTAGAGTTGAGGACCAAAGCTATCACCTTTTGTATACATTAAGGACTATTCCTATTAAGTGGTATATATCAAGGACCAAAATATTCCAACCCCTATACATTAAGGATCATTTTCTCGGCATACTACTATACAAACAAAAAATGTTAGTGAAATGAAGAAAGCAAAAGCTCAGAAGGGAAAAGAATGAGGCTACAGAGATTGAGGATATTCTGAAAGGGCGGTTGCTTCTCTCTCTGCAATTAGCCATTGATTTCTCCATATGTTGTAAGAACCCTAACAACAGCCCTTTTTATCGATTTTATTAAGGGGTCGTTTGGTAGAGGGTATAAGAATAGCATTAGTAACAGCCCTTCCACTCTTTGTTTTTTTCTTTTTTTTAATGCTTTCGCCGGAGCATTCAATGTTGCCGGTGGAGCTGGCGGTGGCGGTGGCGGTGGCGGTGAGTATAATCGGCGGTTAAAAAAGAGGCGATGATGATTTTGTCATTCCTTTCTGAGCTTATCAATCAATCGGGGCATTTTGAGATAACCCGACCCGTATCTTGGCGGGGCATGCTCCCAGTGGGTTTTTGCAGCCATGGCGTTGTTGGACTCTCTTTTTTGCCTGAGGTTAAACACGAATCTGAGCCTAAATTTCTTGTTACTCTCTCTGTTTCATATTATCTGCTATGAGGCTATGAATATTTCTGTTTTTGTCTTCTGTGGAAGATGAATCAGGCATATTTTTCTATTGAGCTGGAAAAAAAAACTCTATCTTGGCATGGCAACTCAGATGGGTCAGTGAGATATTGGAAAAAATTCCATTTTATGGTTTTTCTTCTATATCTCATAAGGCTAACTGATGCTTGCAGCTAGGGGTGTGCATAATTTGGTATATATCGAATTAAGATTTTGGTATTCGAGATACGGTATTTCAGTATTTGTTAAGTTCTTAAAAAAAGAAAGGCCCGTGTAAGTCTCGAATTAAGATACTAACTCTTTCTTTTTAGAGCTTTTAATCAAAGAGACCTCACAAGTCTGAACTTCCCCAGCAAAGATAGGTCAGCCTAGTAAGATAAAAGAAATGAGGCAGAAAACAGAGTTTGGGATTTCTTTGAAAGGGTGGTTGCCCCTCTCTGTTTCACTGTTGATTTTCCTCCATTATCAGAAAAATGAACAGCCCTTGTTTATGAAAACAGCAGAAAGAGCAAAAAGGATTTAAGTTATATATACTGACATCTCTGTCTTTACTCTGTATTTGTGTGTGCGTGTTCTTGTGGTGTTGATCCAAGGTACATAAAGAGGCGGTGATGATGATATTTCTATATCTGGGCTAACGAGTCCAGGCATGGAGATGACACGGCCTGTATCTTGGTGTGGCAACCCAGTATGGCCTGTGACTGAGACTTCTGTCTCTCACATGCAACTGGTGTTTTGCAGCCATGGCGTGGTTGGCTTCTCTTTTGCCTTATCATAACACACATCTGAGCCCCATTTGCTTGAAAAAAGAAACTTTCCATGATTCGATATTGGGATATGTCGAATGCAAGCTTTGCTAAAAATGATAGATTGCGAACTCATTAAATCAAATGTGTTGTGATAAAATTTCGAACTCGAACCCATAAAGTTCAAATCCTAAATCCACCTCTTGATGGATATGCATGTATCCGTCTTTTTCTCTGTTACAAGGTTGTTTTTAGGGAAAATGACATTGTACCGCCGCTCTCAACATAATATCCAAAAAATGTATATTTTGTTTATATTTTTTGTATATATATACATTTTGTATGTTATATGAAAATTATACAAATTTTGTACACTTTTTCGGCTACGGAATGTAAATAGTTTTTGGCGCAGGCTAAAAGTGATAATACAAGTTGTATTGTTACTTTAAAAAGCTACACAATGAAAATATGGAGCAGATATTGTAATGGGGCAACAAAAGGACGGGAGAAATTCAAAAATAGCCAGATTTACAAGTGGTCATTCAAAAATAACCACAATTTCAAAAGTAATCGAGATTTAGCCACTTTTCATGTAAAGATAAATCTGAACAAAAACACTCTTCAAAATCCGGAAAATGCTCCAGCATAATATAATATACTGTAGTTCCAGCATAATATACTTGAGTTCCAGTATAATATACCGGTCCAACATAATATGCTGGAAGTTCATATACAGGTGCACCGATCTCCAGTATATTATGCTGGAACTTTTCGTGTTGCTGCAAAATAATGGCTATTTTTCAATGACTTTGCGAACGCTGGCTATTTTGAATGACCAGTCCGAAAATTGGCTAGCCCGTGCTATTTTTACCAAAAGGACCTCATGGCCCCTTAAGTTATTGATTTTTCTGAGCTAGATGGATTCAGGAAGTCGGTGGGCCTGTAACTTGGCGGGGCATCCCGGTTTCGGGATTTGCAGCCTGGTGGTGCTTGAGACGGAATACAGATCTGAGCCTTAAAGTCCTTGTTATTATCATCTGTGATTAACCAATTTGTTGCGTCTCAAATTTTCAGCTTGCTTTCTGTTATTTCAGATGGGAATATGGTGGGCTAATCTTTTGTTTCTGACTACTAAACAATTGACTTTTGCAACGCAATGTTTTTTGATGGGGTATTTTATTCAAGTTTGATCCTTGCGGAATTTGCTTACTTCAACATGAGAAGAAAAGCTGCAAAGCATGCAACCAGTTAGATGAACCAACCCGTATTTGGCGTGGCAACCGGTATGGCCTGTGATGCAGATTTCTGTCTCTCACATGCAACCGGTATTTTGCAGCCATGGTGAGGTGGGGGAAGTGCAATAGCCGAATTGAGGACAGCTATTTAAGGCATAGCCGAAATACATAAATTTTGCTCTGTGTTCCGCCATTGATTTTCCTCCATTATCAAACAACCAACAGCCCTATGTTTATTTGAAAAAGTTTGCTCTGTGTTACGCTGTTGATTTTCCTCCTTTATCAAACAACCAACAGCCCTCTGTGTTTAAAGCTCTTTGGAGAATCTGAGCTTACAAATAGGGCATTTGAGACTATCCAACCCGTATCTTGGCAGTGCATGTTCCCAGATTTTCTGGTGGTTTCTGCAGCCATGGCGTTGTTGGACTCTCTTTTCGCCTGAACTTAAACACAGATTTTAGCCTCAATTTTTGTGCGATTTAAGAAATGGTGTCTCATTAGTTTAAGTGTGAGGCAGCGGCAAAAGCAGAGAGCTGTTGGGGAGTTTCAGTGGGTGATTTTGCCCCTCTCTGTCATTCTCCACCCCGATGATCACTCCAGTGATCCAATTACAAAACCACCCTTTTGGTAAAAATAACCCAGTGTAATCCCGCAAATGGGGTCTGGGGAAAGTTGTGGGTACGCATACCTTAGCCCTACCTTGTGAAGGTGGAGAGACTATTTCTGATTGACCCTCGGCTCAAGGAAAGCATAATCACAGCAGTTTTGAGAAAGAAATACGGTATGGTGAAAATACATAATGACCTCTTTGTATTCCTATTCTTGTTGTTCCCTCTGTTTCATTTTATGTTAGGCTATGAAGATTTTGTCTTCTGTGTAAGTTGAATCAGACATATACTAAAGTGAGCTGAAGAAAACTGTTACATGGCGTGGCAGCTCAGTGGGTCTGTGAGATATGGGGGAAAAGTTCCATTTTTGGTGTTTCATCTCTCATAAGTCTAACTGATGCTTGCAGCCATGGCGGTTTCCAAAGCTTTTTGGTTTTTATCTGAAAAAGGTGAATCTGAGCCTACCCAAAGTTCTACCAGAAAAGCAAAGAGTTGAGCATGGCCTAGAGAATGAGGCATCAGAGAGATAGTGAGCTTTTGTTTTTGATGGAAAAAAAGGTGGAAGAGCTCAGATGCACTACTGTATCTGTCCAGTAATCAGATAACTGCTGAGACCCGTATCACCTCATGAAGTGCACGGATTCCTCACAGCTCAACCAGTTGAGCCAGCCAGGAATTGAACCCGGGTCTGTATCGTGGCAGGGTACTGTTCTACCACTAGATCACTGGTGCTTCTTAGAGAGAGAGCGATTTTTTGTAAAGGGTGGTTGCGCCTCTCTGCTATGCCTATGATTTCTCCATTGTTAACCAAAAAACCCAACAGCCCTTTCAAATAAACAAGAAAAAGAGAAAAAAAGAAAAACTTCATCCAAACACACCCCTAATATATTCCTCTTCTTTTCCACTCTTTGTGCTGCTGCTACCGGATACTGATGTTGTGAAGGGGCTGTGATGATTGCTTTCGTTTCTGAGCTATGCTCAATTATGGCATTGAGAAAATATCCGACTCGTATCTTGGCAGGGTGACCCGGTATGGTTTTGTATAGCAAATCGGTGTCTGCAGCCATGATGACGTCGCCTTTTCTTTTGCTTTGTCAAAACTTACAGCAAATCTGAGCCCTCACTTTAACCCGAAGCCGCGTGTACGTCTCGATTTAAGAAAGTAACCGGAAGGTTAGCCCTGATAAGAAAGAAAGAAATGAGGCAACACAGAGAGTATTGGATTTTCATTAAAACGATGGTTGCCCCTCTGTTCCGCCATTGATTTTCCTCCATTATCAAAACAAATAAATAACCAACAACCTTTTTGTTTATGAAAAAAGCAGAAGCGAAAAGGATTTAAGTTACATATAGTGACATCTCTGGCTTTCCTCTATGTGTGTGCGCGTGTATTCTTTTGACAAGGTTGATGGAAGATACATAACGTGGCAGTGATGATGATGTTTATATGTTTGGGCTAACCAATTCAGGCATTGAGATGACCCAGCCCGTATCTTGGTGTGGCAACCCGGTATGGCATGTGATGGAGATTTTCTCTTTCTCACATGCAACCAGTATTTGCAGCCATGGTGTGGCTGGCTTCTCTTTTGCCTTATCATAATACACATCTGAGCCCCATTTGCTTGAAAGAAAAATAAAACAGAAACTTTTCCATGCTTCAGTATGGGGTTAAGTCGAACCTGCAGTTTTCTGATTACGTGTTATAAAGCATCTTGAAAACCTCAAATGTGGCATCTGAGAAAAATGTAAGGGTGGTTGGCCTACTTCTCTGGTAAGCCTATGATTTCACTTTGGTTACAAACAACTTTAATCGTATTATACCATCAAATCGTTTGATATATTTGATTGTACCGAAGGATATGGATATATATTTTTGATGGTGTTCCTGCTTGGGCTTTTGTCTATGATTTATTTGATCTCTACTTCTCCTATGGCCCTTTGTGCAGAGCTAATATGATCTTGCTCTATCTTTAATTATACGGCGGATTTTTATACAAGACAGTGCTGGGAAATTCGGAGCTGAAAAGACCAAAAAAAATTCCCATAATCAGAAATGGTTATCCCAGAAAGAAATGAGGCAAAACAGGGCTTGGGATTTTCTTTAAAGGGTGGTTGCCCTGCTCTATTGCACCATTGATTTTCCTTAATTATTAAACAACCAACAGCCCTTGTTTATTGAATAGCAGAAACAGAAACTGGAACATGCATAATGGATTTAACCTATATATACTGAACATCTCTGTCTTTCCTCTGTGTAAGTGTAGATTTTTTATTTTTTTTCGGTGTTGATGGAAGGTACATGAAGAGGCCGTGATGATGGTGTTTCTATATCTGGGCTAACTAATTCGGGCATTGAGATTAACTGACCTGTATCTTGGCGTGGCAAGCCGGTATGGCCGGTGTTTGCAGCCTTGGCGTGGCTGGCTTCTCTTTGCCTTATCATTACATGCTTGAAAGACAAAAAAAAAAGAATCTTTTCCATGGTTGAATGTTGGGATATGTTGAACCAAGTTATAAATCATATTGCTGTCCTAATATTTCTCCATATCTGTTCAGTATCAGCTGAGCCCTCATAACCATTTTGGTGAAATTTCAGTTCTGGTGTGTTTTGCGTTCTCCGTTGTCTGATGATTTTATGCTTCAAACCAAACGGCCCCTCTTTTGTGGAGAAAATTTAACTGAAAGACCTTGATTTAACCTTGAGGCTTTGGGGGATGATTCTCAGAGTGAATGACTATCTCTGACATGCGGATGATTTCTTTTTTTGCTTTAGGCCTAACAATCCTTTGTGTCTATGCATGTTTCTGTATATGTGAATTTGTGTCGTTTGTTTCAGTTCTTATCTTCTCCTCACCGGCTGCATTTCAATGCAAAGCAAGCAAAGTATCACATCAATGATATCGAAAACAGGAAACGATGGGGCTATGATGATAATGTTTGCTGAGCCAACTGAAATCGAGCATTGCAGTACAGTTGCCTGTATCTTGGCGGGGCAACTTTAATTACTGTGATATGCAGCCATGGCAGGTGCAAGAGAACTCGAGTAGACCATTAACAGTAGTAGTTTCAGTTGGCCACCCTTGCGACCATGTGGCTTCGCCACCGGTAGTAGTAGTAATTGGACAGTTGGACCTCATTCTGATTTATGAGCCTAGTCCAATTCTTGGAATTATGTATTCATTTGCTTGATATTGGCGTTGATTTCTGCCGCAGAATATATCTGATATATACAGACTTTTATAAAGCTACCCTTTTTCTATGGAATGTCATTATTCGTCTTGTTATATGGTTTTTGCATAGATCCATTTCTTTTGGTGGTCTTTTTCAATTTTTCTTTTCTAATAGGCAATTGCTCTCTATATTAGAGAAATATTTCCTTACATACAAGATATAGTCTTCTGTTAGTGCCTAACTAACCGAGTAAATTGAGACTTTATTACTAATACAGTTAGGGATCGTCCGGTAGCACTTATAAGAATAGTGCTGAATAAGGTTCTTATAGTGCTGAATAAGGTGTATTAATAATGCAAGGATTAGTAATGCACGTGTTAGTAATGCAGGGATTAGTTATGTAGAGATGCATTATTAATTTTTAAGATAATTAGTTGTTTATAAAAATACCCTCCATATTCTTTAGCTTTAAGTGATGTTAAGTATAATTTTGTCTTTAACCATGCTAATGCATGCATTAATAGCCTTGGTGTGAGCACGTGATTTTTCCCACGTTTAAATTACTCCTATAAAATGCCTTAGAATTAGGATTTTTCTTTTATTATTTGAATTTTAGGAATTAACTGCGTGATCTTTGTGTTTGTTTGCATTTTTGTGCATGTTTAGTTAGCATAATTCACAAAAATATAAAATATAGTATTTTGTCATTTTATATTCTTTTTTAGGATTTAGTTAGTTTGAGGAAATTAATTAGTTTAATTTTAGTTTAATCCATGTTTTGCTTTTAAAATAAAAAAATCAAAAATGGAATGGAATTGAATTGAATTTAAATAAAAGAAAGAAGTTAATTGAAAAAGAAATAAAAAAGAAGAAGAGAATTCTGGCCAATTATTTTTGGGCCAGTTCTGGCATCAGCCCAAAGAATAAACCCCTAAACCCGTCCAAAATAGCCCAACCCAAAACCCCAATAACCCGGCCCAGACCCCCATATACAAAACGACACCGTTTAAGTCCCAATCCATCTTGACCGTTCATTTCTCTAATACAACGGTCCCTATAGTTCAAGGATAATTGAATAAAACTGTCCAAATCCTGTAATAACCCTAGAGACCGCATCCTCTCTTCCTCGTACCCTGTTCTCCGCCGCCCCTCCGCCGTCGCCGTCGGCCGGAAATCGCCCACGGCGGCGGAGAAACTCCAATCAAACCCAAATTTACACCACCCCCTCTCCTTCACCTCCCCGTTCTATATCCGCCATTGATTTCTTTCAAATATCACCCAAACATCTCGAATGATTCAAACCCTAGCGCCGCCACCGCCGTGCACGACGGCGCCGATGTCCAAACCCCTCAGAATGAGTACCCTAGTATCTCCTCACTCCCTACATCCCCAATCCAAGCTCAGTGTCCTTCAAACGTGCCTAGAATCCTTCGAATCTAGGCTTGAAGCCAAGAACCCTAGCGCCGCCCAATTTTTTTCCGGTGGCGGCGCCACCATCAAATCATCCCAAAATCACACCCTGTGATCACCTTGTCTTCCCCATCCAACATTCAACATCAAACTCTCTCAAAGGTCTCCAAGATTGGTCGAAATTCAAATCTAGGGTCCGGATGCCAAAGCTTGAGCGGAGTTTTGAGGTTTTTCTGTTTCGAGTGTGGTTGGAGTCCGTCTCAGGTCGTGTTAATTAGGTAAGGTTTTCTCGTTTACTCATTTTTAATTAATCCGCTTGTCTTTTCATCTTCTTTTTCTTTCCTTTTCTGAGTTTCGAGTTAAAATCTTGTTGATTTCAGTCTACATATGTTTGTTTCAAGTCAATTAGTTTGGGTCTATAACTATTTCAATTTTAGGTCCAAGTATCTAATTAGGTTCTGTTGGCATGCTAGTCTTTTAGTTTGGATTAAGTTTGTTCTGTTTTTACTCTGATTTTTCTGTTGATTTTGATTGAATAATTCTTGTTTGTTATTGATAATTTGGCGTTAGTTTAATTTTTGAATTACCGAATCTCTGTTGGATTAACATTCTGGTTAGATTCAATTTTAGGTTTTGATCAAGTAGTTTGAGGGATTAGTTCAATTTTAGGATCAAACTAGCTGAATCTTGTTGAATAACTAACCATGGTTGGTCTTGATCAAGGTAATAGAAACTAGGATTAGATAGTAATTTTAGGTTAAAAGCAAAGGTAAAATAGGCATTCCTAGGTAGAGACTAATGTTGTAGTTGAAACTAGAACACCCTAGAACCTTCTAGATAGGGTGTTAATCTGAAAATTCAACAAGTAAATGCAGTAACTTGAGAAACAAGTCAAAACATTAGGGACTATTGAATAAATCTGAAAATAAAAAGGGGAAAAATGAGTGAATGAATTCTAGAAGTTACCTCCCCCTTTCCTGCCTATAAAAGGCATCCCCCTTGCCTTCATTTATAAGTTTTGAACCCCTGAAAATTCCCCAAAAAGATTTGAGCTCTGAAAATTCCCCCCACTGTCCCAAGTTTCATCAGCTCAAATTTGAATTTCAAATTCAAAATTCCTGAGATCTTAGTCCTTCAAAGCAAAACTCCAAAAATCAAAAAGAAAAATCTGTTCTATTGTAATTCTAGGTCAATTTCAAAGTTCATCAACTGATTTGGCATCATTAAGCCTAAGGATTTGATTGTTGAAAACTTTCTGGAGGTTCATGGTTTAAATTCGAGAGTGATGGAGTTTAAATTGAGGCTGTTCGTTTTGTCTTACTGGTTGCTGTTCGTCTGTCCTTCTTCCTGGGTTATAGCAATACAGTTTTGGGTTTCAATTAATCCTATTGCTGTGTTGTTGCTGGATTACATTTGCTGAAGCCTTGCATCTGTTTTATACTGCTGTAGCTGACCTCTTCTTCTCCTCATTTTGATTTCACATCCAGGTACCTTTTTAAGCTTCAAATGTTATGTGAAGAATCAGATCCACTTGTATACACTTCTGAAGTTCAATAATGGACAAGCTGTTACACGAATGTGTTGTTCGAATAATAATTAGTCACGTTGATGAGACTTTTGGACTGTTGTAATTAGACTGTTAAATTGTTTTTTTTTGTGTAGTTGCGTTAGTGAAGCTGTCTAGTACAGTTGTTTAGTATAGCTCTAGTAAATTCCATTTCACTTAGAATTTGATGCTATGTTAATAGATATTGAATTACAGTTAAATCCAGGTCCAAAGGAATTTGACAATGACTTACGTAGGTTTTCAGTTTTGGAATTAAGTTTTAACATCAGCGTTTGTTTTATTAAAAATATACAAATCCAAGCACAAAACATGAAATCCAGATTTAGAATCAGCCTGTGGATTGAAGCACTTGATAGCTTGTTTTGACACAATATATGATACAATTTTGGTTTAGGCATTCAGGAGAGTCATGGACAGTCCAATGATTGTCGTAGCATAGTTACTTAGTTGTTGTATTAGTCACATTGTTAAAGCTAATCTCAAACTCTGAAAATAGTCGCTTATACTGGGCCCAGTCATGTTAATAATAGGCCCAGTCGGATATAAGACCCTTCCTAGTGTTTTCCTCCATTTGGGCCCCTGCAAAGGGCCAAGGCCGGCCAGAGATCCTATTGAAATTCCTAGTTCTTGGGCCAATATTTGGAAAGCTTAAAATTCTTTTAAAGGTGTAATTTGGTTTAGTAATATATTTGGGCTTTCGAGTTAGGTAGCGGGTTCAAATTAAAAGGTTGTCCCTTTTGTTTGAATCCGAACTTGAACTTGAGGCCCGGATTTTATAACATTAACTAAGGCTCTTTAGAGACAAAAAATCAATAGAAAATCATAGTTTGCTTTAGGTTGGCCTTTAAATAATAAAGTGAAATGAGCCTCGCCAAACAAAAATGCATAAATTGCGGGGCCCTCATTAAATGCTTATATTAAAATACTTAGAATTCGGGGCGTGCCGTTTAGCAAATTTCACGGCCCTCCGCAAAGATAATAACCCGTTAGCCACTTTAGGCGCGCTTTTAATAATTTTACCTTCTTAAATACTGGTGTGCATTTCATGCAACCCAAATCCAAATCCCAAAACGTTGAATAAGAATGTGTCGAGGATCCAGGTGCATTTCATGTGACGTGATCCAAAAACACGTTCTTAAACGACGTTCACTTTCTTAAAAATTGACTAAAAGCGGTAAAAATCTTAAAATTGCACTATAGGTTTTAACGTATATAAAAATCAGATTTTAGCCAAATATAGCAGTTGAGCGACCGTGCTAGAACCACGAAACTCGGGAATGCCTAACCCCTTCTCCCGAGTTAACAGAATTCCTTACTCGGATTTCTGGTTCGCGACTGTAATACAGAGTCAAACCCTTTCCTCGATTCGGGATTCAAACCGGTGACTTGGGACACCATAAATCTCCCAAGTGGCGACTCTGAATCTCTTAATAAACGAATCGCGTTTCGATTGTCCTTTAATTGGAAAAACTCCTTCTTTATACCCTTCACGGGGTGTAGTAGAAGAAAAAGGAGGTGTGACAGCTCTGGCGACTCTGCTGGGGACAAGAACCCAGAACTTTTGGTTCAGGGTTCAGAATTCGAGCTCAGTTAAATTGTTATATTTGGCTTTATCTAATTTTGTAACATGTATGGGCTTAATGTGCTAAATGCTTTACCACTTTGATATTTGTTGAATTGTATATAAACTGTCGCGAATACCTTTCTCTCTCTAAGTCTTCTACATCATGGAGAAGGGTGCACTTCGTGTAGCTTCTCTTCTATTTAGAGTCTTTCCCAATTTAGAACGAGGTTTGGATAAGTTGCTAAGCCGGCGGAGCTTCTGTATCCCCGGTACGCTGCCTCCCCCTCGGCCCGAGTTGTCCGTTCGGGTAAGCCAGGTCTAGACCAATAAACCTAGGGTTTAAACCTAGAAGAACAATAACCTCATGCCGGATCCCTAGTAGGACGCTTGTTTGCATCATGTGCATTTGACTTAGGGGACTCAACACAGGGGTTGGGTCCGTCTAGGACAGGTGACCTGAATTGAATTGACCATCCGATGCATCTTACGTGCTACGTGCGCATTTATTTGCTCGGCTTTGCATATTGACCGGCTTGTATATAATAAGAGAAATTGAGAAAAATAGTAGTGTT